CAATTCCCATACATTATATCACGCTCAAGAAAATACGTACCAGCTTGAATATACATATAAGCGCTATGCCAATACTCCGGTGTGTATCTGTGGAAATGTCAGATCAAAATATGTATTGGAATATTAGCTGTTATTTGTTTATATCTGAGTTCACGACCGCGTGGTAAGAACGTTTCCTTTTCGGCCATGAAAACCGGGCTCTAATTTCACCAATGACGATTGCCTCTCCGGGTTGGAGAGGCAATCCCAGCGTGTGACACACACAGAAAGTGCATAAAAATCATATCACGATTAGACCCAAGCCTTATGTCTGGAATTAACGAAACTTATTATTCGCTTTCTCCAATAAACACGAACTATTGTTCGGAGAGAAAAGTTGCATTATAAACTACACACTGATTCTGCGGGTGTTGAAACAGTATATATATATATCTTCTTGAACAGGGACTGGATAGCCGACCTACCAGATTAGGGTGTTTGCAAAACGAAGTAGCCGGTAAATTATTTCTACAGGAAATGATACCGCTCTGAATCTAAAAGTATGAAAAAACAGACAAAATTTATTAGACATAAAGAAAAAAATGCTGAACTGCTATGTAATATCGATCCTCCTATATAACAGCTAAAGCCGGACAATTTCATCACAGATGAAGAGGAGATTTGGCAGAATAGAAATAAAGAAAATAATGCTTAACTGCTATATAATGCCACACCTCCTATTTGACAGTGTATGTTGGACAATTTCATCACAGATGAAGAGATTTGGCAGAATAGAAATAAAGAAAAATGCTTAACTGCTATATAATGCCACACCTCCTATTTGACAGTGTATGTTGGACAATTACATCACAGATGAAGAGATTTGGCAGAATAGAAATAAAGAAAAATGCTTAACTGCTATATAATGCCACACCTCCTATTTGACAGTGTATGTTGGACAATTTCATCACAGATGAAGAGATTTGGCAGAATAGAAATAAAGAAAAATGCTTAACTGTAATATAATGCCACACCTCCTATTTGACAGTGTATGTTGGACAATTTCATCACAGATGAAGAGGTGACTCGAGGCAAAAGAAACAAAGAAAATAATGGTGAACTGCTATGTAAGTTCAATCCACCGATATGTCCGTGAATGCTGGACAATTTTTATCACAGATGAAGAGACTTGAAGCAGTAGGAACAAACATTTTTTCCTGGACTGCTATATAAAGTAGATCCTCTTATATTGCAGTGAATGTTGGACTATTTCCTCACAGATATACATAAGCCAACAGTGATGTCGTTCATCAGAAGGATACTGAGAATATTATGAACAGAGTATTTTTTTTTAGAAACGAGAACGTTTTAAGAAAAATAGAAACAAAATAGACGCTTAAAATTTCTGATAAAAATTAAGGCGTAAATTTTCATTGTAACACCCGAGCGCTAATATCCCTTCAAATTTTTCAAAAATAGTCTTATTTCTGTGCAAATGTATATGCTGAACTCAAAGCAACAATTAGATATTGAAGAAACCTACCTTTTTGGATGTTAACGACCCGAAAAAAAAATCGGACTTTTACCTGGTCTTCCGTCGGCTATTACCGGCTTATTGCTATGTAATTCAGTGCTGAAATCTGTCGGTGGACGTATACAATTTGGGCCTATTTACTCCCTTCATAGTAATTCCATGTAGTTAACTTTCAAATTAGGTTTAGATTTTTTTTTTGTTTTTTTCGGCTATTCTTTTTTTTTTTTTTTTTTTTTAAGAAGAAAGTTAACTTTCAAATTAGAGTTAGGTGTTTTTTTTTTTTGGTTATTTTTTTTTCTTTGTTATTCTTTTATTTGTCGATGTTTACATATATTTGAAAGTTAACTTTATTCTTAAATTAAGTACAAAAAAATCGCTTTACGGAAACGCGTACTAATTTCTGAAAGAAAATGGTTCAGCAGTAAATGATGCTCGGGTGTTAAAATGAAAATTTACCAATTAAGGTTATTAGAAATGTCTCTAACGAGGTTTAAATGAAATGTATATATTTTCTTTTCATCATCTGGATCTTAATGATACAATCTATAAATCTTTAGAGGTAAAATCTAACAATGTGGTACCTTCAAACTATAATTATTTCTTTTAATCATTTTACCCCAAGCAAGGCAGGAATGCCACTAGTACGCAGTGGGGGTTATAGGTTGTGAAACTGAGAGAAAAGACAATATAAGATGCATTGGGGAAAGGAAAAAAGGATGAACGGGATTCAAGAAGATAGAAGATGGCGATTGACATTGCATTTTTGAAGATTGTGTTGATCCGGGAAAACAGTAAACGGAAAGGGAGTTCCATAGGCGAGAAGTGCGGTAAAATAAACTATTGGAGAAGAAGTGGCGGTTGCATTTAGCTATTTTAATAGTAAAATGCTGAGACCTACATGCCAATCGAGTAGCACGCTTGAATTCAAGTAGTCGGGCAGGTTTATGAAAATATTTTAGAAAAAACAGAGGGAAGCTAGTCTACATC